AAGCTTCAGTGGTATTTGACGATGTGCCTTGCAACATAGTGTAAGACCTTAAAACCCCTATTTAGCAGTTTAGAATGTTAGAGTGGATATAGAGAATCAAATTGTATTGTAAAAATTTGGTGATTATATAGTATTTTGAGGGAATATAACCGTTAAAATGGCCTCTGGTTTGTGTTAGAAGAAATAAGGGGCCGTTGGAGAAGAGAGAGAGAGAGAGAGAGAGAGAGAGAGAGAGAGAGAGAGAGAGATTCAGGTTTAAACCCGTTCTGAAATGAGTAGGTAAAGTTATGAATTGTGGGTGAGTGTTATGACAAGTAAATCACTTATTCCGTTAACTTCAATAGCGATTATTACCACCAACTAACTTGAGGGATGTATTGACAAGGAAATTGGAGATTTAAGGGGTTAAGAAACAAATTATGAGATTTGAGGTACTATTTGCCAATTATGTTTGATAAGGGACTAATATGCAACTAACCCTTTTATTTTTAGGCGGTTCTAATCATGCTGCCCTTCCGTCGGCTCCACGCCGTCATCACTGATTACGACGAGTAGGCCTCATCACCGCTAGGACTACTTGTCACAGTAGTGGATAGTTCAGAATCCAAGAATACAAACAAAAGTTTCAACATCAATATGATTTGTTCCATTTTCTTTCCTAACATGCTCACTTCTTTGGCAAGCTTCATCAACAAAATTCGGCTATTATCCACCCAAGCAAAAAATTCACAACCTTTATTTGAGGCAATCTTGTGTAGCTGACACCCATAAAATTGCAAACCCTTGTTCTCCCCTTGTTTACATGTACAAATTCTAAACTCTAAACTAAAAAAATATTTCTTGTTAGCCTCATGACTTGAAGCTTCAGTGGTATTTGATGGTGTGCCTTGCGACATAGTGTAAGACCTTAAAACCCTTATTTAGCAGTTTAAAATGTTAGAGGGGATAAAAAGAATCAAATTGTATTGTAAAATTTTGATGATTATATAGTATTTTGAGGGAATATAACCATTGAAATGACCTCTGGTTTGGGTTAGAAGAAATAGGGGGCCGTTGGAGATGAAAGAGAGAGAGAGAGAGAGAGAGAGAGAGAGAGAGAGAGAGAGAGAGAGAGAGAGAGAGAGAGGGAGAGAGGGAGAGAGAGAGAGGGGGAGAGAGAGAGAGAGGGTTTCGGGTTTAAACCCGTTCTGAAATGTGTAGGTAAAGTTATGAATTGTGGGTGAGAGTTATAAGGTAAATCACTTATTCCGTTAACTTCAATAGTGATTATTACCACCAACTAACTTGAGGGACGTATTGGCAAGGAAATTGGAGATTTAAGGGGTTAAGAAACAAATGATGAGATTTGAGGGACTATGTGGCGATTATGTTTGATATGAGACTAATATGCAACTAACCCTTTTATTTTTAGGCGGTCCTAATCACGCTTCCCTTCAGCCAGCTCCACATCGTCTTCACTATTTGCGACGAGTAGGCCCCATCACCGCTGGGACTACTTGTCACAGTAGTATATAGAAGAGAATCCAAGAATACATACAAAATTTTCAACATCAATATGATTTGTTCCATTTTCTTCCCTAACATGCTCACTTCTTTGGCAAGCTTCATCAACAAATTTCGGCTATTATCCATCCAAGTAAAAAATTCACCACCTTTATTTGAGGCAATCTTGTGTACCTGACACCCATAAAATTGCAAACTCTTGTTCTCCCATTGTTTACATGTCCAAATTCTGAACTCTAAACCACAAAAATATTTCTTGTTAGCCTCATGACTCGAAGCTTCGGTGGTATTTGATGATGTACCTTGCAACATAGTGTAAGACCTTAAAACCCCTATTTGGCAGTTTAGAATGTTAGAGGGGATACAAAGAATCAAATTGTATTGTAAAATTTTGATGATTATATAGTATTTTGAGGGAATATAACCGTTGAAATGACCTCTAATTTGGGTTAGAAGAAATAGGGGGCGGAGAAGAAAGGAAGAGAGAGAGAGGGTTTCGGGTTTAAACCCGTTCTGAAATGAGTATGTAAAGTTATGAATTGTGGGTGAGGGTTATAACAGGTAAATCACTTATTTTGTTAACTTCAATAGTGATTATTACCACCAACTAACTTGAGGGACGAATTGACAAGGAAATTGGAGATTTAAGGGGTTAAGAAACAAATGATGAGATTTGAAGGGCTATTTGATAATTATGTTTGACTAGTGTGCATCCCGTGCAAAGCACAACCCCCATTTTTTATTTTTGCCACAATAATTATATTTTTAAATATTTTCTGTAAGTGCCACAGTAATATTTTTTAAATGCTATAGTATCCGCCTGGGCTACAGTGATAATGTGACAATAATATTTTAGAACGCTACAATTTTGTATGTGCTACAGTAATAATACTATAGTATTTTACTGTATTATTTACTGGAATATGAATATTAAATTTTTGGATCCTCTTATTATTATAACTAGTGTGAACACCGTGCAAAACACGACATATATTTTTCCTGCTACAGTAATTCAGTTTTAACTGCTACGATAATTTTTTGAATTGCTACTGTATCTCGCCTCTACTGCAGTGTTCCTGTGTGCTACAATAATAATACTGCAGTATTTTACTGTATTATTTACTGTAATATGAATAGTAAATCTTTGGATCCTCTTATTATTATAACTAGTGTGCGCCCCGTGCGAAGCACAACCTTCTCTTTTTTATCGCTACAATAATCCATTTTTAATTGCTACAGTATATTTTTTAAATGCTACAATATATTTTTTAAAGAGTGCTACAGTATCCCACCCCTGCTATAATAATATATTTTAAAAAATAATACAGTAATATTTTTTAAAATGCTACAGTATCCCGCTTATGCTATAGTAATATTTCTTTGAAAATACTATAGTAATAGTATTATAATAAATTACTATAACATTTACTATAACGTGAATAGTGATTATTAAGTTCTCGCATTATTATAGAGGAATAGACTAATGTGCGCCCCGTGCGAAGCACAACCTTCTCTTTTTTATCACTATAGTAATCCGTTTTTTAATTGCTATAGTATATTTTTTAAATGATACAGCGATGTTTTTCCAAATGCTACAATATATTTTTTAAAGAATGCTACAGTATCCCAGCCCTGCTATAATAATATATTTTAAAAAATAATACAGTAATATTTTTTAAAATGCTACAGTATCCCGCTTATGCTATAGCAATATTTCTTTGAAAATACTATAGTAATAGTATTATAATAAATTACTGTAACATTTACTATAACGTGAATAGTGATTATTAAGTTCTCACATTATTATAGAGGAATAGACTAGTGTGCACCCTGTGCGAAGCACAACCTTCTCTTTTTTATCGCTACAGTAATCCGTTTTTTAATTGCTACAGTATATTTTTTAAATGCTACAGCGATGTTTTTTCAAATGCTACAATATATTTTTAAAGAATGCTACAGTATCCCAGCCCTGCTATAATAATATATTTTAAAAAATGATGCAGTAATATTTTTTAAAATGCTACAGTATCCCACCCCTGCTATAATAATATATTTTAAAAAATGATACAGTAATATTTTTTAAAATGCTACAGTATCCCGCTTATGCTATAGCGATATTGTTTTGAAAATACTATAGTAATAGTAATAGTGATTATTAAGTTCTCGCATTATTATAGAGGAATAGACTAGTGTGCGCCCCGTGCGAAGCACAACCTTCTCTTTTTTTATCGCTACAGTAATCCATTTTTAATTGCTACAGTATATTTTTTAAATGCTACAAAGATGTTTTTTCAAATGCTACAATATATTTTTTAAAAAATACTACAGTATCCCACCCCTGCTACAATAATATATTTTAAAAAAATAATACAGTAATATTTTTTAAAATGCTACAGTATCTCGCTTATGCTATAACAATATTTCTTTGAAAATACTATAGTAATAGTATTATAATAAATTACTGTAACATTTACTATAATGTGAATAGTGATTATTAAGTTCTCGCATTATTATAGAGGAATAGATTAGTGTGCGCCCCGTGCGAAGCACAACCTTCTCTTTTTTATCGCTACAGTAATCCGTTTTTTTATTGCTACGGTATATTTTTTAAATGCTACAACGATGTTTTTTCAAATGCTACAGCGATGTTTTTTTCAAATGCTACAATATATTTTTTAAAGAATGCTACAGTGTCCCACCCTGGCTACAATAATATATTTTAAAAAATGATACAATAATATTTTTTAAAATGTTACAGTATTCCGATTATGCTATAGCAATATTTTTAAAAAAAGACTATAATAATAGTATTATAATAAATTACTGTAATATTTACTATAACGTGAATAATGATTATTAAGTTCTCACTTTATTATAGAGGAATAGATTATTACAGAGAGAAATAGATAAGAGACTAATATGCAACTAACACTTTTAATTTAAGGCGGTCCTAATAGGGGTGTTAACGGAGCGGATACGGCTCGGATATGGCACTTACCATATCCATATCCGCTTACCCATCTCGGATACGGATACGAATACAGATATACGTCGGTAAGAAAAATTCATATCCATATCTGCCAAAATCGGATACGGTTACGGATATAGATGCGGATATATAAACGGATATGCATGCGGATACAAAAAGGATATGTGAAAACTAGATAGTATTCAAAAAAATATAGTCATGTGATACAAAAAGAGTTCGTTAATATGTTCATTATGATTGAAAAGCTAAGATTAGACATCTTGATCATCAAAATTAACCACAAATCCATAATCTAAGAATCGAAACTATCGTAAGAGTATTACCTATATGTATTCGGGTTTTTTCGGACACGGATACAGATATTTCACTACAAAACCATATCCGCAACCATATCCTATCGGTAATAGATTTGAGTAACCATATTCGTCTCCTAACGGATACGGTTACGGATATTTCCTCGGATACGGATGCGGTTTGGCACCCTAGGTCCTAATCAGTAATCACGCTGCCCTTCCGCCGGTTCCACGCCGTCCTCACTGTTTGCGACGAGTGGGCCCCATCACGGTAGTAGATAGCTGAGAATCCAAGAACGTCCCTAGTCTTCTTCTTCTTCTTCCTCCTCCATCTGCAGTCATACTACAAGCCCTAACCTGGGCTTAACAAGATCCAAATGGCTCCATCGAAACTAGATCGCAGACAGCTGGGGACCACCGGCCTCAGCCTCAGCTGCGTGGGATTCGGCGCCTCTCCCCTCGGCAACGTCTTCGGCCACGTGTCCCCCGAGGAAGCCCTGGCCTGCGTCCGCAGAGCCCTCGACCTCGGCATCAACTTCTTCGACACCTCACCGTCAGTACGAAATATTCAAATTCCGCTCAATTTCGAACCTCGCAATTGTTTCACTCTTTTTTTTTTCTTTTCTTTTCGTGTCGAATTTAGGTATTATGGGCTTACGGTCTCGGAGACGGTCCTCGGAAACTGCCTTCAAGCTCTCGGGGTCGCGAGGGACGAGTTCGTTGTATCGACCAAGTGTGGGAGGTACGGCGACGGCTTTGATTTCAGCGCGGAGAGGGTTACGAAGAGCCTGGATGAGAGCTTGGCGAGGTTGAAGCTCGATTATGTCGACATTCTACAGTGCCATGATATCGAGTTTGGGGATCTCGATCAGGTCTGGTTTCGTTTCTTGTTTTAGCTTATCAATTGATACGGTGAAATTCAATCTTCGTGAGTTAATTCTTTTTCAGATTCTATCTTCACAATTTCACATTAGACATCTCGGTATTGATGAGCGTTGACTTAATTAATTGGTAGCTTTTCTTGAATTTGTTGGTTCTTGAGAGCGTCG